AAATATTTATAATATTTCTCATGCATATGGAAAATTATCCACTCACCTGACTCGAAAGCAAACAGAAATCAAAAGTAGACACCGAAGAAAATCCTACTGACGTCCTGCCGTAGAATATCAGGATTATCTGAATACAAAGGAGACATATTCAAGAATGACTCAAAATAATAGATAACCTAAGAGTGAGTTTTGGTTGGAGAGTGTATCATTTCTTGGGCATGTAGTTTCAAGGAATGGGATTGAGGTTGATCCTCAAAAGATTGAAGCAGTTAAACAGTGGCTTAGGCCTACTTCAGCAACAGAGATTAGAAGTTTCTTAGGTTTGGCCGGCTATTATCGGAGGTTTGTGGAGAACTTTTCTCGGATTTCTGCACCATTGACTAAGTTAACGCAGAAGAATGTTAAGTTTCAGTGGTCTGAAGCTTGTGAGAAAAGTTTCTTGGAGTTGAAAGAAAGATTGACTACAACGCCTATTCTAGCAGTACCATCAGGTTTTGGTGGTTACACAGTGTATTGTGATGCTTCGAGAGTGGGGTTAGGATGTGTTCTAATGCAGCATGGCAAGGTTATTGCCTATGCTTCACGGCAGTTGAAGAAGCATGAACAAAACTATCCTACACATGATTTAGAAATGGCAGCTGTCATTTTTGCTTTGAAGATTTGGAGGCACTATTTATATGGTGAAACTTGTGAGATTTTTACAGATCACAAGAGTTTGAAATATATCTTTCAGCAGAGAGATCTAAACATGAGGCAGAGGAGATGGATGGAACTGCTGAAGGATTATGATTGTACTATACATTACCACCCGGGTAAGGCAAATGTAGTTGCCGATGCTTTGAGTAGAAAATCATCAGGGAGCTCAGCTCATATTCAGGAGGTACGGAGACCTCTGATTAAGGAGCTGCATGAGTTAGTGGATGAAGGAGTCAGATTTGATCTTAGTAAAGCTGGAGCAATGATTGCTCATTTTCAGGTTAAGTCAGATTTGTTTGATAAGATAAAAGCAGCTCAGAAGAATGACGAGTCACTACTCAAGATAAAAAATGAGGTTGAGCAGGGTAAGGCTGCAGGTTTTGTGATAGGTGATGATGATGTACTGAGATATAGAGATAGGCTTTGTGTACCTGATGTAGATGATCTGAGGAGAGAATTGATGGTAGAAGCACATCAGACAGTTTACACAATGCATCCAGGTTCCACCAAAATGTATAAAGACCTTAAGGTATGTTATTGGTGGAATAGGATGAAGGCTGATGTAGCAGACTTTGTTTCTAGGTGTTTGACCTGTCAGAGGGTAAAGGGTGAACACCAGAAGCCTCCTGGATTGTTGCAACCATTGTTGATTCCAGAATGGAAGTGGGAAAGGATCACAATGGACTTTGTGACAGGATTGCCTAGGAGTCAGGAGGGTTATGATTCGATATGGGTGATTGTTGATAGGTTGACAAAATCAGCCCATTTTCTGCCAGTTAAGATTACTTATGGATATGCAAAGTTGGCGGAATTGTTTATTAGTGAGATTGTACGGTTGCATGGAGTGCCAATCTCGATAGTGTCAGATAGAGGTCCACAGTTTACATCGCGATTTTGGGTGAAATTCCAAGAAGCTATGGGTACTAAAGTGCAGTTGAGTACAACTTTTCACCCACAGACAGATGGTCAGTCTGAGAGGACTATTCAGATCTTGGAGGATATGCTAAGGGCTTGTGTTATGGATGTTGGAGTTGGTTGGAGTAAGTTCCTATCATTAGTGGAATTTGCTTACAACAACAGTTATCAGGCTAGCATAGAGATGGCACCTTATGAGGCTTTGTATGGTCGGAAGTGTAGATCACCGGTTTGTTGGTTTGAGATTGGTGAGAAGAGGCTAATGGGACCAGAGTTGATTCAGATTACCTCAGAGAAAATAGAGGTAATTAGAAATAAGCTTTAAACAGCTCAGAGCAGACAAAAGAGTTATGCAGATAGAAGAAGGCGTGACTTAGAGTTTTCAGTGGGTGATTATGTGTTTTTAAAAGTATCACCGACAAAGGGAGTATTCAGGTTTGGGAAGAGAGGTAAGTTGAGTCCTCGATTCATTGGACCGTATGAGATTCTGGAGAGAGTTGGGGCAGTTGCTTATAGGTTAGCATTACCACCAAACTTGTCTTCTATCCATCCAGTATTTCATGTTTCCATGTTAAGGAAGTATATGACAGATCCATCGCATGTGTTAGAAGTTCATCCTGTTGAATTGAGGGATGATATGGTTTATGAGGTGCAACC